GGTGGTGATGGTGGAGGTGAAGAACCCATCGCCGTTTGGGGCGCAGGCGCAACAACATACGAAGTGCATATTTGCAGTATTTTACGGTTGATTGATTGTAAACGTGTGTTGCCACAACAGTGGTGCAACCAACCAACCAACCGTCGAACCAAGACACTCCACGGAAAACAAGCAAATAATTCACCCAGTTGCCCATTGGGGAGGGATTGTTTTGGCTTTTCTTTTGACAGTTGAACGGTGCGGCAATGCGGGAGTTATGCTAATGTTAAGCCTCCCAATATTTGCATCCCAAACAGAAAAACTGAACCTTTTGTCACGTTTTCTTTGGGTGAGAAGTTGTCGGTGGCAGGCGTTGTTGCAGCTCAACAAGAAGAAGAAGAAGGTGGGTAACCACTGCCGCCACAAGTCCCGCACTCAATGTGTAACTAATGTAACAAATAAGCTGCAACGACCTGAACTCAAGTTCCATTCCAATAAACCAGCAAAAAACCAACTTCAGCGGTACCGCTCACCCGGTCGAACTATAATTTGAAAGATTGTCTGCAAATGGCACTGAAACGGTTGTCTATTTGAGCGTTCTCGTTGCCCACAAAAAATACCTGCTAATATTTCTTGTGTTTTTCTTGCTTTTTTTCTGCCGTTTGTCTACTTCAAGCTCGTTATTCATATTTTTGTTGATTTTTTGACTTGCAGCGATATTTACAACAGTTGTAATGTTTGTGGCAAGTAGAAGAGAAAAAATAGCAATAACAACACACTGCCACATTATTTGGATGTTTTTTGCAGCATCAGCTGCGCCAGGTAACTTGGTAGAAGAAAAAGTCTGAAACATCGAATGCGAAAGATAGTCAATGAGCGTCATATAAACATTATCATGACGACGAGAAGAGCGGAGACAATGTAGCGTAAATTACATGTTACTAGAGTGGCACAGTGATAGGAAGTAACAAGAAATTTTATTTAATTTTTTTTCTTTAATTTCGCAAAAAAAAAAAACTCCAGAAACGCCTATTGATTAATTGGATTTTTGAAAAAATATTTTTAAATATCCACGATTGGATATTTTTGAAAAATTATGTTACAAATCCAAGATTGGATTTTTTTGAAAAAATATTTTTATAATTTCACAATAGGATTTTTTTTTTTGAAAAAATCCACAATTGGATACTTTTGAATTTTTTTTTTTTAAATCCACGATTGGATATTTTTGAAATAAGGTATTTTAAAATCCACGATTGGATACTTTAGATAAAATGTATTTCAAAATCCACGATTGGATCTTTTTGAAGAAATATATTTCAAAATCCACGATTGGATATTTGTAAACAATATTTTTAAAAATCCACAATTGATTTTTTTTTGAAAGAATATTTTTAAAAATCCATCATTTGATATTTTTGAAAAAATATTTTTACAAATGATCGATTGGATATTTTTGAAAAAAAAATATTTAAAAAAAACCGCGATTGGATATTTTTAAAAATTACGATTGGACATTTTTGAAAGAATATTTTTAAAAATCCAACATTGGATATTTTTGAAATAATATTTTTAAAACTCCACGATTGGATATTTTTAAAACTCCACGATTGGATATTTTTAAAAATCCACGATTGGTTATTTTTAAGAATCCACGATTGGATATTTTTAAAACTCCACGATTGGATATTTTTAAAAATCCACGATTGGTTATTTTTAAGAATCCACGATTGGATATTTTTAAAAATCCACTATTGGATATTTTTAAAAATCCACGCTTGGATATTTTTAAGAATCCACGATTGGATATTTTTAAAAATCCACGATTGGGTATTTTTAAAAATACACGATTGGATATTTTTAAAAATTCACGATTGGATATTTTTAAAAATCCACGATTGGATATTTTTAAAAATCCACGATTGGATATTTTTAAAAATACTCTATTGGATATTTTTAAAAATCCACGATTGGAAAGAATATATTTTTAAAAATCCACGATTGGATATTTTTAAAAATTCACGAATGGATATTTTTAAAAATCCACGATTGGATATTTTTGAAAGGATATTTTTAAAAATCCACGATTGGATATTTTTGAAAGAATATTTGTAAAAATTCACTATTGGTTATCTTTGAAAGAATATTTTTAAAAACCCACGATTGGATATTTTTAAAAATTCACGATTGGATATTTTTGAAAGAATATTTTTAAAAATTCACGATTGGATATTTTTAAAAATCCACGATTGGATATTTTTGAAAGAATATTTTTAAATATCCACGATTGGATATTTTTATTATATTTTTTAAATATCCACGATTGGATATTTTTGAAAGAATATTTTTAAATATCCACGATTGGATTTTTTTGAAAGAATATTATTAAAAATCCGCGATTGGATATTTTTACAAAATTCACGATTGGATTTTTTAAAAAATCAACGATTGGATATTTTTAAAAATCCACGATTGGATATTTTTGGAAAGAATATTTTTAAAAATCCACGATTGGATTTTTTGAAAGAATACATTTTTAAAAATCCGCGATTTGAGTTTTTGAAAGAATATTCTGTAAAATCCATGATTTTTTGAAAAAAAAAAATTTAAAGTGGACGATAGAATTTTTTTGAAAAATATTTTTAAAAATCCACTATTGACATTTTTGAAAAAATATTTTTAAAAATCAACGATTGGATTTTTTTTTTTTTTGAAAAAGAATTAAACATCTACATTTGGATTTAAAAAAAAATTATTTGAAAATTTATGATTGGATTAAAAAAAAATTAAAAATTAGTGTTGGATTTTTTTGAAAAAAAAAAATCCACAATTGGAATTATTAGGAAAAACATATTTAAAAATTCATCATTGGCTTTTTTTGGGAAAAATATATTTTTTAAAAATCCACGATTTGTGGTCTTTGAAAAATATTTTTAAAAATTAGGCATTGGTGGTCCTTGAAAAAAAAATTAAGAATTGGTGATCCTTGAAAAAATGTTTTCTTTTAAATTGTGGATTTAAACTTTTTTCTTTTCCCATAAAAGAATATCGGAATATAGTTGGTATATTAAAATTAAATATTTTACTTTATGTGAATATCCATAGTTTGTCAAGAAGAGATCCATTGATCTTCTCTCAGAAGACACATTAGTCTTCTATTTGAAATCACATTCGTCTTTTTGAAAGGTGATCCATTAGACTTCTAAAATAACTTCTGGTAAACCCTAAGACTTTCCGTTGCATGACTCAGATGTCTTTTATGATAAAACACATTCTTCAACGAAGAACGCTGGCGTTCTATGGAAAACTCCTGGTCTTTTATGTACACTTTTTTAAGGCAGGGAATGTTTTGCGAACCTCCAGTTGTCGTGCATTCGTCCATTCCTACAAAACTTGCATTCATTTTCCCTGAGAAGACCTTTTTGTTATACTCTCCTTCAAAATATGGAGGCTATATTAAGTTTGTCATTCCATTCACCGGAATTATTTCAAATTTCGTATTTTCAGTTCTTCGGTATTATTATTTAAAGTTCTTAACAATCTATGACATAAAAATTGTCTATGCAGGTTCTTTGTATAGCCCCTAAATATCAGTACCTCCCTATATTCCGTAATTTGATGACTTTAGCTACATTATTCGTCGAAAAAGTTTAAATTTTCATATTTGAATATTGTATTGGCCTATGACAATAATTTTCTATGCTGGTTCAAGTCGTCGTACAGAACCCAATATAACGTTCACTTCTTACATTCGGTATTTTAAGATTTTAACTAATTTTATTTTTTTTTTTTAATTTCCAAATTGGTCTCAAATGGTGGAGGATATTAAAAGTTTCTCCCGGTCGAACTTATTGCATTTTACCTGTTTTTTATTATAATACCACGCAATCTTCTATTTGAAGATCCAATGATCTTATACGGCAACTCCCCTTCTATGTGAGGATCGGGTGGTCTTCCAAAAGAAACCTTTGGTCTTCTACGAAGAGATCATTTGGTCTGCTATTTTATTAGAAAACCTCCTCATCTTCTTCTCTTCGTTTCCATTACACTGTTCGAATAAATAACTCTTCGTGTAAGTACGGCCAGAGATGCAACGGCATTCCGTTTTGACTGCACCTTAATGATCTTGTTACTTAGCAGAGACTATTTTTTGCTGGCTTCTTTTATTGTCTCTTCCACTACCTTTCCGCACAGACAAAGCCAACAATCTCTTCTTTACACAAACTATGCTAACGAGCAGTAAAGTTTAACTACTGTACATGCCGACCAAAAAACAACAAAACCTCTTGTATTCACAGCGCAAAAAAAAAGAACTTAAGGAAAAAATAACAGACCTATTCTACAACAACGTGAGTATCTGTTATTAGCACTTCGGCCAAGATAGTTAATTCCAGCAGACAAACGATGAACCTTCCCCATTCAAATTTTGCACAGCTTCCATGTTGTAGCCCGCCAAAGACCGTTAAAAAATAAGTTTTCCTGCTGGATGGGGTTCCATGAGATTTTTCTTCGTCTGGGCTTCTAAGCCAAGAAATGTTGGCAGCGGATTTTTATTGGCCGCAAAAACAACAAATTGAACTAGGGCAATATTTTGTGTTGGTGTGAAGTTGTTTGTTTTTTTCTAGTTTTCGTGGTTTGTGGGCGTCTTTTTATTTGTCTGCCTTTCGGTTGACCTTTTCCATTGATCAATGGTTTTCTGTTTAGTTTTATGGGTAAATTTTCCTGATTTTTTTCCTTAGAAAAAAAAAAAAGAAAAACACTAAAAAAGCGACAACATTTTCCATTTAAGTTTTTCGTTTCTGTTGTTTTGTAGCTAGCTGCCTCTATTGATTGTTGGTTTGCGTGTCAAGTCATTATAGATTAAAATTAATTTCACAAAATCGCTTTCAAGCCCGAACCAATAACCATCGACCAGAAGAGATATCTTTTGAATTTTAGGAGGGAAATTGATTTTTCCACTCCAACGTTTTGGCAATAAAATTTAACGGTAAATTGAAATTTTGATTTTCTCGATTTTACAGGTCATAAATAATGTCGGGTGTTTGCCGAAATGTCGGGTAAGTGAATTAAAACATGATTTTTTTTGTTGGTGGCGGCAACATTTTTTAAAAATAGCATGAAAGTGTTAATTGATATAGCAAATAAATCCTGACAAGGTTTATAAAATTTCAATAATTTTGTGAATTATAATTTCGTCTTTAATAACACTTGATGGAGAATATTTCGAGATGATTGGATTTTGTTGATCTCTCTGTAAATGAAGTTTGATAAATAGTCGTCACGTCTTATAAGTGATCGATAATCAGAGTTGACGATGTAGATGGTCGGAATGATGTCCAGGTCTTCTAAGACGTGATGTAATCGGGGACTTGTGGATGGCCGTCTGACATTGCCTAGCAACGGAGATCAGAAACTACAATGTTTGGGTTTGGATTGATGTCGTCGTCCGGGATGTTGACGATTTGAAAGTAATCGGGAACTTTGTTGAGTGGTCGTCGGGGCTAACAAGTAGTAGATAATTAGAATGTTGGTGGCCGGGGTGCGATGGTGGTGGTCAGGGTGTTGATGTCTTAGGATGGATCGGGAACTCATGGTATAATCGTTCTGTTACATCAGTTCACTGTAGACATATTCAGGAGTAGATGTCTAGGTCATCTTGGATTGTTCGAGCTCGACATGGAAAATATTTCAGGTTTGATAACTCTATGTGATTAGGATTTACGATGTAGTTGGTGTTGATGTGCAAGTCTTCTGAGACGGATAGGGGACTCGTGGTATGATTGTTCGTGTACGACAGTTCACTGTAGAGATATTCGGGAGTAGATATTTTGGTCATCTTAGATTGTTCGGAATCAACAGCCCACGGAGAACTTGATGGAGAATATTTCGAGATGATTGGATTTTGTTGATCTCTCTGTAAATGAAGTTTGATAAATAGTCGTCACGTCTTATAAGTGATCGATAATCAGAGTTGACGATGTAGATGGTCGGAATGATGTCCAGGTCTTCTAAGACGTGATGTAATCGGGGACTTGTGGATGGCCGTCTGACATTGCCTAGCAACGGAGATCAGAAACTACAATGTTTGGGTTTGGATTGATGTCGTCGTCCGGGATGTTGACGATTTGAAAGTAATCGGGAACTTTGTTGAGTGGTCGTCGGGGCTAACAAGTAGTAGATAATTAGAATGTTGGTGGCCGGGGTGCGATGGTGGTGGTCAGGGTGTTGATGTCTTAGGATGGATCGGGAACTCATGGTATAATCGTTCTGTTACATCAGTTCACTGTAGACATATTCAGGAGTAGATGTCTAGGTCATCTTGGATTGTTCGAGCTCGACATGGAAAATATTTCAGGTTTGATAACTCTATGTGATTAGGATTTACGATGTAGTTGGTGTTGATGTGCAAGTCTTCTGAGACGGATAGGGGACTCGTGGTATGATTGTTCGTGTACGACAGTTCACTGTAGAGATATTCGGGAGTAGATATTTTGGTCATCTTAGATTGTTCGGAATCAACAGCCCACGGTAGATATGCTTGGGAGCAGATTTTCAGGCCTACTCAGATGAATCGAAATTTTTCACGTTCGACTGCTCACTGTGGGTTCGATTTACGATGTCGGTAGACGACCATTCGTCGGGGCTTTGAAGTGGTAGATAATGGGGTTTACGAAGTTGACAGGTGGTCGGGATGTTGATGTCCAGGTCTTCTAAGAGGATTAGGGGACCCGTGGTACAATTTTTCGGGTACGGCAGTTTACTGTAAAGACATTCGGGAGTAGACGTTGTGGTCGTCTTAAATTTTTTGGCATAGCAAGCTCACGGTATGTTCGATAGCAAATGTCCAGGCCTTCTTAGATGGATTGAAACTCTTTCAGGTTCGACAGTTCACCTTGAGAATACGATGTATGTGGTCAGGATGTTGATGTCCAGGTCTTTTCAGAGGGATCGGGGACTCGTAATTTAAACGTTCTGGTATGATGATGTCGAGGTAGTCTTAGTTTTTTCGGGATCGGCGGCTTTGTTCGGGAGCAGATGTCAAAATCTTCTTAGATGGATCGAGACTCTTTCAGGTTCCACAGCTCACTGTTAGTTAAATTTAGGTGGTAATTTTTAGGTGGTCGGGATGTTGATGTACAGGTCTTCTGAGACGGACCAGGGACTCGTGGTATAATTGTTCGTGTACGGCAGTTTACTGTAGAGATATTCGGGAGTAGATGTCTTAGTCATCTTAGATTGTTCGAAATCGGCATCTCACGGTAGATATGCACGAGAGCAGATAATCAGGCCTTCTTAGATGGATCGAAATATTTTTAGGTTCGACAGTTCACTGTGGCTAGGATTTACGATGGCGGTAGATGACCATTCATCGGGGCTGACAAGTGATTGATGATAATCATTAACGATGTACGTGTCCGGAAGTTGATGCCCAGGTCTTCTGAGGGACGGGCACAATCGTTCTGGTAAGTTTGATAAGCCGGTTTACTGTAGAGCTATTCTGTAGGTCGAATTGGATTTTTCGGGATCGGCAGCTCATGGTAAAAAACATAGGAGGTAGGTGGTCGGGATGTTGATGTCCAAGTTCTCTGAGAGGAGTCGGAGACTCGTGGCATAATCGTTCGGCTACGGCAATTCACTGTTGACATATTCGGGCTTAGATGTCCAGGTCGTCTTAGATTATTCGAATCGGGGACTCGTGGTATAATCGTTCGGGTACGACAAAATCACAGTAGAGATATTCGGAAGATGATGGGATCGAAAGTTCACGGTACATATGTATGTTAGGGACCAGATGTCCCGGCCTTCTTAGGTGGATCGAAACTCTTTCAGGTTCGAAAGCTAACTGTGGGTAAAATTTACGATGTAGGTGGTCGGGATATTGATGTACAAGTCTTCTGAGAGGAATCGGAGACTCGTGGTATAACCGTTCGTGTAGCGGCAGTAGAGATATTTAGGAGTAGAAGGTTGTCTAAGTGGATTTAGATAATTCGGAATCGACAACTCATGGTAGGCATGTTCGGAAGCAGATGTCCAGGCCTTCTAAGATAAATCGAAAATTGTTCGGGTTGGTTAGCTTACGAAAGGTATCTTAAGAAACAGATGTCTGGGCCTTCTTGGATAAACGCTATTCCCTTGGGTTCCACAGCTCACTATAGATTTGTTCGGGTTTAGCTGTTTAGGCGACTACAACGGCTAGTAATTGCTAAAGCTAAAGCTTTTGACTACCTCTAATTCACTACCAATGGTGGAGCTATGATATGGTACATCAATTCGAAGCTTCTGTGGAATAACGAGCCGTAGCTCTTGTCGGACAACGAGCTGAAACTCCTTCGGAACGACGAGTCGAAGCTCTCTCTGGGAAGCAAGCCAAAGACTACTGTGTAAATGAGTTGCCGGCCACTCAACTCAATCAGAGCCAGTTTAAAAGTGATCGGTGATTACGCTGCTGTTAGTCGGTGAAAAGAAATTGATTCAGAAATTCTCTAACTTCCCTTTGGCAAGCCTCCTGGGACGGTGTATCCCAAACTGAACACTATATGTGACAGGCATCACCAAGTCAACGAGAATTATTTGCCTTATGCGGTTAACGAAATATTGCCGAAAGCTAAGCTTTCAGTTCATTGCCAACATATTCTGAGGTGGTATGTTTATGCTTTGCTATCGACGTAATTTTTAGATGTTTTTGCTCGCCAGTTTGATGAGCTAGTTTAGTATTGGCGACTTATTAATTTCTAGGGTCTTCACAGCATAGCTTACACACAGCTTACAAGGTTCCAAACAAAATGTTAATATCTGCAACTGACATTTTCTCATTTATTTTGGTCGCATTGCATAGGGACTAACTTAAACCTGTCAATTAGAATTGTATTTTCTGGCGATAGTTTTTCGGGTATAGAAACAATTTTCAAAAAAAAAAAAAAAATTGCAAAAAAGTAGTGTATTCATGCGAGTTCTGGAAAGGAGCTATTGTCTACATGTTGAACTACTGATTAGCAACATGTTTCACATAACAGCTTTGCAACATATTGCTCAACATGTTTGTCCACCCAATCAAATTTTATGTTTTAATAATGTTGTAAATTACAAAAAAAAAGTTCTCCGCCTAGTGTAAAGCTTAATTAAACATTCTTTTACAGTTGTAATATATGTTTTTTTTTTCTCATGAAAACGAAACGAACTGCAAATTGTGGTCATAGGCACCAAGCAGTCTCATGTGTGAGTTGGTTAGTTGGCTGGCTGGCTGGCCATTCGTTGGGGAGAAGTTGTGGTTCAATTTGGTACCATTTCATATTTCTTGGTTTTGTATTCATCCATCGTTGACGACATTGTGTTGGTGTGGCCATTTGATTGTTGGACTCTCCAACCGTCTGTCCTCTGGTCATACTCTAACGAATTTTTATAGAAAAAAGAAAAATATCTCATGTATTATAAAGATTATGCAACGAAACCACTTTATGTTTATTAATGACAATTTGTTGGTGGTGTTGGAGTTTGGTTTTGTCTCGATTTTTGCTTTGGTGATACTTTTGCCTATATCTGTATCTGCATCTGCTTTGCGAAGGCAAAACTATAAGTGACCATAAGTCTATCTACAGCACTTCCATCTACTGTGTACAGCAGCGCCAATGCAATGCAATTCCAATGCGAATGTAAACCCAAGTGTGCCAAACAACGAGTGTTTTAATTAAATAAAATTAATATGGGTTGGATAATTTTTATTTGCCAGTTTCTTTATTATTATTTTTTTTTTTTTTTTTTTGTAATGCCATACCACTAATGAAGAAATATTCCTAACAATCACACTATGGCTAAGATCAACAAATTACATTCGAAATGAGGTTAAAATGTTTGCTTTGTATGCCATAGGTATAAGAACTTTGTTTTTTTTTTGTCTCATTTTAAATTCTAGAATCGATGCGGTTGACATTTGACAATTGTCAGTTTAATGGTGTTTGGATTTTGATTGTTGTTTATTATTATTATTACAGCCGAATGGACAAATATCAATGACAATTTTTAATGAAATGCATTAAATTAAAAATAATTATAATGACAA